TATTTTTTTATCAACACTAATAATAATCATCTATTTTGATATATCTATTTATTGTTCTTGTCGAATATAAAATTATACAGGGTGTTACATTTTAATTCATCCGCGCAATTGTCTCCGCAACTATTCATTATATGGAAAAAATGTGAAGTAAAACTTCTGTTTCGAAAGAGACGTTTTATGATGGCTACTAGATTTGTCCAAGTGGAAAGATTTCCGAAATCTCAAGGTCACGTTCACTTTTTTGACCTGTTTCTCTTTTTTTTTTTTTTACTTTAATATCTCTGACGGTGATTCTTTAATCATCGGTAGTTTTAGCTTGCTTAAAGAATGCAAACTTTTCTTCTACAACTTCTTTTTTCTAACTTTAACAGGAAGAAAATTATAATCTGTCCCAGTTACTAGATTCATCCTACATATCCCTACTTTACATATCTTTCATTGAATGTATATTTGCATCGAATGTCTTGTAATTTTTCGAATTTCGCGCGAAATTCAAAAGAGAAAAAAAAACATTTTCGTGTGTCAAACATGTGAAAAGGAAGTTAGACTCGTATCACGAAAATAATATACAAAACGAGGAATGAAACGTTAAAATGTAGGTTAGAAGTCTGTTCGGTGACGTCTGTCGGTACTCACATATGGCGTGCGGCGAAAGAAAACGAAGAGGAGATCGCTGTGCCGGCGTCGTTATCCTACCTGTTAATTAAGCACAGTTACGACCTTCGGTTAAATACCGAGCGATCGTTTAATAGCAACGCGACCAGCCAATTGATCGAGGACTCGGTCGCCGAGCGGAGGGAAAATGGACGTTTAAACGGTTTCCCATTGCGTTGCACCGTCTTGTTCGCTCCTTGTTACCGAGCTGTTGCTGCGTGATCGGTGAATTGCAAAAAACCAGGGATTAACACGCCGCTAAGTAATTATGCAGCATGTAATAGAAACGTGGATGGAGGACACGGGATGAGGATCCGTCACTGACGAAGGAACGAAAGTGTGATTGTCAGCTGTAATGTGTGGTAATAATTTTAATTCTAGCTAGACAAAAATAGCAAACATTCTCAAAGGTTATTAATTATCAGAAATTAATTTAATCTAGGAGAAGTAGGTGTATCAATCCTTTGGGTGCTTCCAGTTACGAGAAATGTAAAAGTTTAATACCGAATGAGAAGCGTATAACAAGTTAAGGATTCATTCATCTTTAGAAGTATATTTTCGATATATTTATTCAACTGTACTGTAATATGTTATTTTCTTTAAATTCTCCAATTTATTTTATTATTGATTATAAGATTATTATAATGCTTGAACACAGATGTTAAACAGTCAAAGAGTTAGTGCATATACTCAAAGAGTTAGTACGTATATGTATCGAAGCAAATAATTATAGTAATTAACCTTCATTTAAAAAAAATTTTTTTTATTCATTGGCCAACCCGATATTCTAAAACTGTAATATACCACAGTTACTGTAAGTAAATTTGTTTAATTCTTAATTGGTATCATTGAATCATTGGGAATTATAACAATTTAAAGTTAAATTACTTGCTTTTGGAATTTTGAATTCAATGTAATCAATTATTTCTATTGTGAAGAAGATTAAGTATAAAATAAAATGAAGTTAACCTTAAATTTTAATGATTCAATTACTAAATTACTGTGATCATTTATAACCCAATGTAATGTTTTTAATTATCGTTAATAATAACACTGTACTTAATACGATTTCGTTATTTTTACATCTCTTGCTACTGAAAAGTAACAAATCTATAACTTTAAGAAAAGAACTATCTTCTCGTTGTGATTGCCATCTTCGGTTCCTCCATAATTAAAAAGATTCATATTTTAAAAACAAAGTTGTACCTAGCTGTCGAGAAGAATAAGCTTCTTTTACACAGAATCGAAACTCGGCCAGAGTGAAAGAATTTTAGATGCAGGACGGAAAATTGGAAACGGGTCCAACGGTGGATTCGCGTGTGGCCACGCGGACTTATTAAGTCGGGCGATTGCTCATCGTGCGCGAGTGCCTGAACATTATAAATTTATCAGTGTGAACGGGGCGACCAAAAGAAAACGCGTTGATCGAAAGATGGAGGCAGGGAGCTCACCTCTGACCTCGGCGAAGCATTTCGATATACACGCTCTCGTGCCGCGGAGATATTTATTGGAGATAATTATAAGAGCGGTCGTAAAGTCTTGGACGGGCCCGTTTCTTAGCTGATATCTTACACGGCTCCGTCGACCGGACGCCTTTGCACGTAAGTACCTCCTATACAAGGTGTCTCTAGCGCGTTCAAATAGCTTGCGACCTTCTCCTCGTTCGTTGCCCGCCGTGAAATCGATAACGTGATTACCGATATTCGAAAAGTGTATCGCGATTTGTCCTCCCCCGATTTGAATATCTACTACGCCTACGCTGTACTTTCAACACGTTTAGAAATAAATTGCTACTTCGAATGAGGATGAGTCCTCCGAGTTAAAAACTGAATCACATTCTACTAATCAATCTGGAGATTGTTTTAATGTACACGGCCACACGATTACAAATACTCTATGAGAAGACGTAAAATGGAAGAAATTTGTTTAAGTCTTGTGAAAGAAGCTGTTCTTATTACAGATAATATATAGCGTAGGATAATTCACAAATTCTTATAATAATGTTTCGAACACACGTAGAATTGTACCGGTAGAAGTATCTGAATTTTGAGTTATGTTGTTATATTATGCAAATGAGATTTTCCAAATAATTGCGTTTTCTCAGGATGTGATGAATGTGTAACAGGTCAGGACCTTATTCTGAATCATTCAATTATTCGTCAGAATCAGAATTACAATTCATAGAAAAAAAAAAAAAAATTCCTCAAACTCCATTGGAAGGATAGAAATTTGTCTCCAGAGACCAGAGGCCGACAAATACCATCTACTCAGAAGATAACAACACGCGGTCCCATTAAAACCAACTTGATATCGTTGACGAACGTTTCATCGTCCGGATATTGAGAGAAACGGTATCCTGTCGGCGCTTTGGTCCGCGAAACGGCGTTTCGGCGTGGATACGGTGCGCCACAGGTGCGCGCCACAGGTGCTCCAGCCTTCTTTCGGAAAGCAATCCGTGTCCAAGATGTTGATCACTGGACGAGTAATTTTGGCGGAGGAGCGTTTCGTGTCCGGCCTGATTATCACGTTCCCTTTCCGCCTGTCGGGGAAATTATGCTTCCTCCGGGCGAACGTGTTCATTCCCATCATCATCATCATCATCATTCTTGGAGATACGAATGTTTTTCGGGGCACGAATGACGGACAGAGGTGAGGCGTGGTGCCGTATCGGCCAGTTTCATTAGCTCTCATGTATTTACTTCTGGGTGCACGTAATAACAAACCTACGTTCGTTAACATAACAACAAACGAAGAATAAAAAAGAGCAAAATGATAATAAATCTTCCGAATAAAGTTTCAATACAATTTTGAGGCATTAGAGATCATTCCCTTACTTTTATTTATATACAATCTCCTTTTGTAACACTTTGAAAATATGGTTTCCACATAACACGAATTATCACTGATCTATATTACTTTTAAATTTCACCTAGCACGATTTCGATGCAGCACGGAAACAGGAAGGGTTGACTGTATATTAAATTGGAAAAAAGAAAAAGAATCACAAACTACTTGCACTAAAAGTCGACATTTCTAAAGGCCGAAGATTCTTTTGGAACACCGTGTAGCTGAGACTCGTCGAAGGCGAGGTGGTTGAAGATGGCACCCGGATAGCGAGCCGCCATGCAACCCGCGGAATGAAAATCGATCAGAGAACCCGGTGCGAGGATCGAGATGATGCATCGATATCAAAAGTTGTAGAGTGGTTTCGCGCGCTCGCGCTTCGTTCCTCCCTTTTTCTCTTCCTTACACTTCCCTCCTTCTCACTCATTCTCTCCCTTTCTTTCTTTTTTTTTTCTCTCTTTCTCTTCCTCCTTCTTCTCGCCCATACACGGTTGTCTCCCGTTCCATCTTCGCCTGTTTCTCCCGTCCCCGTTTCGTTCCCGCGATCAAATCACCGTCCGCCGAAGAAATATGTCCGGGGCAATTTGGATTTGAATTATTCGCAATTTTCTTTATCTCATTTCCAGTTATATATATATGTATATATATAGGCGGCCGCGAAGCGGGTTCCGTCGGTGCCGCGGATCGAATTTCCATCTCGGAAGTTTCGAGGCTGCGCGAACAATGCTATACGTTTTCCTGATTTTCAGACGAGTCCTTGGCTGTAAAGTCAGTTTCGATTCGATCTGTTCGCGCTGTACGTCGAGCATGCTCGAAATCGCCGTCTTATCGTGATTTCCATCGTATGAGGCGAGAAATGAGAAGAAGTACGCTTTCTTCAACTTTCCTCGGAAAGCAATTGACCGGATGATGAACACTAGTCTTGTTATTCGTAGGAACTACTTGTACATGTCGTTCCAGTCAAAGACTCATGATTCACGCGAAATTTTAGATTGAATTTGTACACTATCGGACATCAAGACTGAAAAAAAGAAATTGTTAAGCAATCAATTCTATAGGGATTTGTGTGAAATATTTATGCAAAACACGAATAATACACGTATAA